AAAAAAAAAAAGGAGGGGGTAGTTTTAGTGTCCAGTTTTAGAAGATTCACTGGAAGATACAAGTGAAAATTTTGAGACTAAACATATAAAAAATTTCTTCCTTATTTCTGGTATATATCACATGGCCGAGTACCTGATAAATTTGCTACATTGCTTAGTGTATATTCCCCTTATTCATTGACATATTATTATCTTTTTAAAATTTGTGTTCATCCTTTGACAAGCTCATTATCTGCACTTATAATTCAAGAGCAAAGGACCTTCAGAAATTTTTTCTTGATCCTGATCAAAGAGAAAAACAAAGAGCTCACCCATTCCTTCAGCTTTCTCACAGTGGTGCTAAATTGCATCAAATACCTGCTTTAGACATGGTGATTGACTCTTGTCAGGAAGTTTTACAACGAAAAAATTATCACCCTCCCTGTCAAATCCCATTTTGGCAACTTTACATTGAAATGCAGTTGGTTTAATTGCACGTTCCCTTGTTCCTTATTGAAGGAAAATATGAATAGGAGCACCTGGTCAGTCCCTTCTGCGCTGCCTTTTCCTTTGAAGGAACATCTGGTTTTTATTTTGATGATTATGATATATTGCAAAACTCAACTGGATTTCAGAGAATGTGTAACTCACTCAAGATGGTGCTTCCAGAAAATGTCTCTACTCCATGTGAGAAATGGAAAAGAAACCCAATCACAGCAAGGTTTTGAAGTGAAAACTTCTAAGTTTGTCCTCACAACAAGTAAATGGTAAGTTGGAAGAAAAAAATAATCAGTTGAAAGCGTTTTTTCTTAAAGCCTGTAATTTTCTGGGACTCATGCCATCAGTATGGTTTCGGTAATATTTCCCAAAGGAAGGAACTTACCTGGAAGTCTTTTTGTGAAATCCACTAACACTTGGACGTGGACAACGGCCGTCTCAGAGAGCCGGAGAAAACTCTCCTCAGCACTTGCAGTTTCTTGCAGCTGCATGAAAGAGCATTTGGACATCAGATTTAACCAAGGCACAGTGCTGAGGACAACAATAACTTAGCCATGCAGGCTGAGTGTGCTGGATACCTACAAACTTCTTGGCTTCCTCGAGGGGAATTGTGTATTTTTGGTGTGCTGCTACGATGTGGTCGAGAAGCTGATGTTCCCCGGGAGTAAGTTCCATCTTCTCTGGGATCTGTTAAAAAAATAAACCCATCAGGTGACAATGACTTGGGGTAAAAATAAATGATAAAAAGAGGTATTTTAAATAGAAGAATATCCCACTTTTCCAGATCTTGTTGTAGATGATACATGCTTACTATTCAGTCCCTCATCTTCCAGCTTTATGTTGCAAAGGAAACTGCTCTTCTGCTTGAAATTCTTCCTGAGTCGCTTTGACTTGCACTGGACTTCAGTCAGCAAACCTGCAAGGCATGGAAGTGGGCATCAATATGTGTATTTTGAATTAATTACAATTTGAAATCATCTTTGTTTTTAGAGATGACTCGAGTCTTGCAGCACAGGAGCCATCACCTGTAAGGAACTACACACTGGAGGATATGGCAATGTGTGGTTTGTCAGGTGAGTTCATGTTCAGTACCCACCAAAGGCCTGAGGGTTTCCAGTCCCCTCCTTTCTTGTGACTCTGTGACATACAGGCATCAGAATTTTTCATCAAAGACCATCATGCCGTTTTTATTTAATTTTTTTCCCCAAACACTAAAGCACCTTTGATCTGCTCACTGCTGTCCTGACAGGGCTCAGGATATTTAGCTTCTCTTCTCAGTACTTTCTTTCCTTTTTTTCTTGTAATGTCTTTGAACAATAGTCCTCTTAACTTAGGGAGATACTTCCCAAGCATTGCTTGTTTCTGCACATGAAGATGTTACAGGTGCTGCGGACTCCAAAGATAATTTTCCTACAGCCAAATGAAGCTTAGACTGATATCATTTAGCTCTAATGAGAAGGGATTTACTTTGGAAAAGGCTTTATCCAAGTTGATTAGTGAAGTAGGCAGCATGGAAGGAGCACTTACATTCTGCCAGCATTCCCACAGCTTTGCACTTCTTCAGGCGACATTCCTGGCACTTCCTCCTCATGTACATGTCCATCTCACAGTGCCCTCCGTTCTTGCACTGATACACCGCGTTCTTGGTGATGCTGCGTCGGAAGAACCCTGCAAACAAGGGGCAGGTCATGGCTGCAGCAATCTAAGGAGCTTTATCTCATAGGAATTTAAGGAATTAAAAGTGTCTTTCAGGTTTGATTGGTTGGGGCTTTTAAATGGAAACATTACCTTGATTTTAAATTTACTTTTTAACAACATAGTTATGTCTGGTTCTTTCTGACTGATATTAAATGCTGTTTTCCATACATAGAGTCATAGAATCACAGAATATCCTGAGTTGAAAGGAACACACAAAGATCAAGTCCAACTCCTGTTCCTGCATGGGACAACCCCAAAAATCTCACCCTGTGCATAAGAGTGTTGTCCAAACACTCCTTGAGCTCTGGCAGCCTTGGGGCCCTGGGGAGCCTGTTCAGTGCCCGACCACCCTCTGGGGGAAGAACCTTTTCCTGAGATCCAACCTAAACCTCCCTGACACAGCTCCAGCTGTTCCCTCAAGTTCTGTCACTGCTCACAGAGAGCAGAGATTGGAGCTGCCCCTCTGCCTCCCCTTCAATATAACAAGTTAAATATAATTAGTCAGTCATTACTACTTGCTTTTATTTAATTTTAATGATAAGTAAAATTAATAACACTCAAGAAAATCTATAATAAATAGTCATGAGAAAATCAGTACCTGCTTAAGCAGAGACTATTCTGTTGAGTCATCTGTGCAAAAATGAGATTCTTGAGGTGCTCATATTAAATACAAACTGTGAAAGCATTTCTTCAAAAAATGCTGTAAAAATGTGAATCCGGGAGTAAGTGTGTTAGATAAGGGGCTCCTTAGATAAATTAAAACCCTCTGTAGAAACAGCTTAAAACCCAACGAAACCTGTTTGCACAAATCACAGGTGTGGAATGTTGTGTGGCCAGTCCTGGGTCGGGTCCTCACCTTTGCAGCCCTCGCAGGTCAGGGCGTTGTAGTGGTACCCAGAGGCCTTGTCCCCACACACGACACACAGCTCCTCCTGCCCCTTCAGCCTCACCGAGTGGGTCAGTCTCGGCCTCTTTAACCCCTGGTACCCCCCGTCATCCACGTGGGGAGCCACGAAGGGGGGTTTGCTCAGCTCGCAGCTGCTGCCGACGCAGGGCCCGTCGCTGTAGGGAGGGTCCAGGCCATATGTGGCATATGGGGACAGAGGGGGCTGGGACTGCAGGGCCGGGGCAGGAACTGGCACTGCTGAGTACTGGCAGTAAGGTGCACTCTGGAAATCTGTGTCTGGCAGCTGGTAGTTGATGTGCTCCGGTAAAACGTCTGAATAGAGAGGAAATCGAAATGAAATGAAAGCCTGAAGAATATCTCAACATCAGCTATTCGAAAGTTTTAAAAAAATTCATAGATTTAATATCATAAATATTAGAGGGACACATTTTCAGACAGGCAGACTGATACACTGTTTTTAAATGTGCTATCTGTAATGTTCTTAAGTAAAATCTTAAGTGTGGTAAAAATGGCTCAGTAATGGTTTGGACAATGTCATGTGGATGCCACTGGATTATTGTTGGCACAATACTGAATATCACTTGCCAACTGATGATACAGCTGCCTTTAGCTCTTACACTTGAGGGTTATTTGTTATCCACATTACAGTCAAATATCTTCCGTAAGTGAATTTTTTAATAAGTGAAATTTTAGTTATCAATACATATCTCAGGCATCATTTTGAATATGTTGCACAAGAGTCTGAGAAAGATGGTCTAGAAATTATAGAGTGGTAAAAAGTACTGTGACAGGAGTCTTAAAGTTGAAGTCAATGGAATAAAAAGCAGGTCTTGTTTTATTTAGCATTTCCCCACATATAAGTCTTTATAGCTATGAGATTTCATTTTAGTAAAATGTAGGTACAGAATTGTAAAGAGAGTTTCTTCCTGCCCTTCTGTCTGTTGAGTTTTAATTTTATCCAGCCCCCCTTAAATACACACAACTGTACCAAAGCAAGCCTGTGCAACATGCATCATGTTTCATTCTTCCTTTGGGATTGTTCAAATCTCTATAAAACCAAATTGGAAACTGTTTTCAAGCCAATTCAGAGTTCTTTTTCTTTTTAATGGGCATCAGGTCCTGCCTTTACTCTTCCAGAGTCCAATTAGTTACTGCAATTATAGTTACATAACATATAGAATATACATGATCTATTTATAATGTATCTGGAGTACTGTAATAAAAGCTGTGTCTGCTCCATGCAAGTCAAAGGGAGACAGCACCAGGAATGTTTATATGGAATGATCAGTCGGAATAATCACAGTATTTCAATACTTTCAGTATAGGCTTGGCAGTCAAATGTGTAGCTTCTAAGAGCTTTAAAGATAAACTAAAACAGAGTAAAAAATGGGAATTCCCACAGATGTTAATTTTACTGTATTTTCAGGATATAAAGCTGTTGTTTTACTCACCATAGTACTGGATGGGCTCGGGGAGACAATACCCATCGGGGACGGTGACAAAGGTGTTGGCCATGCTCTGCTCCCAGCTGCACTGCTTCATTCACCCTGCTGGGGGGTTGGCTTTTAAATGGCAACCTGGAGAAGTGGGAAAGCGAGAGAAACATCCTGTGAGAAAGAATTGCTGGGTAGGTTTAGACAGGGAGCTAAACCCAGAAAACTCCACAATATGGGAGTTTGCAGATCATAAGAAAATCAGAGGTACAAAGTCACGTAACACCCTCAGTGAGGCTACAAAAGGACTGTCCTCACAGTAGAGATTCAGGATAGAGGCCATTCCTAAATTTCCAAGTTATAGCAGGACTGTTTTGCTCTGAATTTTACACAAAACCATGGTGGGGGAATCAGATTAATCGCTGGTAAATTCTCTAGTTCAGGAAGATTAAAAGGAGTTTCACTGGATAGAAAAAACTTCCTTTGGGCATGAGTTGGGGCATTTGCACTAATGTGGATGTGGTGGGTGTCCTGTTTGTGCACAAAGATGGGCTTTTAGTGAATTTGTTTCTTTCACTCTTTATGCGGATCTGAAGCAAGTAAATATAGGAAAATAGCATGGAAAGACCAGCATGGAATCTCTCTTCTCCCCATGTAAGTAGTTGTTTATGCAGTAAAAGTCAGCTTTGCTTTGCTTAAGCACTGCCTGATTTCCATTTAAGAGCCTGTATTCCTTTAAGATTGCAAAGCATCCTGTGAAAACAAAATAAATTAATATCCTATAGGATTTATTTCCTTGAGAGAGCTTCCCACTGTCCCTTGAACACTAAAGGAGCTTGGGCTCCTGGCTGGATGCATTGACATTCACAATAACAAAGTGTACTGAGAGCTCACAGTGACACACTGAGAACAGCTGCTGTGCTTTGACTTCAGAACTTACCTTATTTTTCAGTAGTTAGAATTATAAATTCAAATTGAGAAAGAAGTTGTGAAAAAGGGTGCTCTGAAAATTCTTACAAGGGTTTTAGAAGAAAAATATAATGTCTCTATGGACACTGGCAGGAGCTGGGCTTGGGTTTACATTCACAGAGCAAACCTCTGGTATTGCTGAGCAATTGAGAGGTAATGGAGTAGCCATTAGAGGAGTAAGTAGGAAATATTTTCCTTGCCCCCTTATCCCTCTGCATGTGGAATGTGCTCACTGGTTAAACAAATGTTGAGTCTGTGCCCATTGAGTAAGGGCTGCGTGAGACAATTTGCCAATTTGCTCAGGCTTTGCCTGAGCAGACAGAAAGGACAGAAAAGATGAAAAAGGCATGGAAGTATTTGGAAAATACAGCAAAGCAAAAGCCTACTCTGCAACAGGATTCTCTGTATGTGCCTCTTGCAGAATTTACAGCAATTTGGGTTTAAAGGTCTTCCTGGAAAGACTCACATGGTGGGGTTTGGGTAATACCTATACCTTGCTGTGACTGAGAAAATAAATGTATCATTCCAGGGAACCTGAAGTCCTGCCTGGAAAGACACACATCCCTTCCCCCAGACTGGACATATCTTTGGGGCTGAACACTTTCGCTTTGTGTTGTCAGCAGAAGGTGAAAGGATGCAGTGAGGTTGGAATGTTGGGGTTTTTTTGTTATCTCTGCTAGTAAATATTTGTTTCAGAGCAGAATGACTCACTGAATCATGAGGTCCTTATCAGTTAGATCAATTTGGCCTGGGCAAAGTCTACATTTTTTCCCAAAAATGTGTGTTTGCCAAAGAAATGCGTTTCTGAATTCCTGTAGTTTCTTTAAATAAAATAGAAAAGGAATAGAAGCTAAAATAAAATTACACTGATCCAGTGTGACAAAAACAGTATATTGGGAGTATGAAGTACATATTACCAAATATAAAGTGGTCAGTTGATTAAACATTCTAAATCTTGGAAGCAAATTTTCCTTAGGCAAAGTTTCCTCTAATCAGGTATTGTATGAGAAAAGATTTAGCCCTTCTTAACAGATTTTTATGGCTAATAACAGTGATTGGTTGCAACCACAAGATTCCCAGCTCAGAATGAGACTTTGTAAACTGAAATTAAGAGAATGTTCTAATTAATTGATTATTAATTTTAAATCCAGTGCTTATTTGAGAATGCTATACTGTCATGAAACGAGACTTATGCATGAAGTGTTTAATTTTCTGACACTTGACAATTTAGGGTTGGCAAACTTGTTTTCCTGATATAACAAAGCATTGGGCTTTTTAAAAAAAATAAAACTAGAAAGAACAGAGTAAGATATATAAGGAAGGAACTTCATTTCCCAGGACAGGAAAGTTTTGATTATTTATAAGAGTGACTGTGATCGTTGTGTGTTCCAACCTTTGCCTCACCCCTGAGATGTGAGTGAGGCAGCAGCAGGGAAGCCTCCTCCAAACTGAGATCCATTAGATGCTGCTCTCCCCAGAGCTCAGTAGCCATCCCAAACCCCTCACACCTCCTGGGATCGAGCCATGACCTAAGGGACACTTCCTGAGCCCAGACAGATGCTCATTGACCCCTTGCCAGGCTGGCAAGTGAATTCTGCCTGTGCCCAACGCAGTGAGGCTGTGGAGTCCTGGCAGAACATACCAGACATGCCCAGCTGTAATTTTCAAAACACAATAACTTGGATAAAGCTGAAACAAGGTTGGAGTAACGGGTTTGGGTGTTTGGAGCAGTTACAGTCGTGTCATTCCCAAACCAAAATGTTTCGTGCCCATTTTTCTCTTTTCCGTGTATTCACAATATAACCAGGTGTTTGTGTGTGAGTGCTTTAAAAGGAAGCAAAAATTTAAGTATATTCCCAGAGATGGCACATAAAGGTCTTTAGCCTAAAAAGTGGAAATAACTGAAAACAAAAGAAGATGAATTTTTTAATCCCTTGTTTCGTAGAATCTCAACACAGATAGGATGGGACTCTTCAGTCCTCAGTCACACAGACTGGCCTGAAAGAAAATGTCATCTGTGTAAAGGCACACACTGTTCTCTGATTTTCCCTCTTCTGCTGGGAATTTTCACATGTGAAATCCTGACCAGGTGGGCAATGGAGTGTTTTTAGAAGAACAGGTGACCTACACTTGGGGTTGTTTAAGCATGTTTGAAAATGTTGCGCTTTTATGGGCTTAGTTTTGCGAGTGATCAAAAATGTTCAATACAACCCAGAATGTGTGTCAAGTCAAGGGGTTGGTTATCCATCTAATATGAAAATTCAGCCAGGTTCAGTTCTTAGTCCCAGCTGAAAAACTTGTCAATTTATAAAAGATGGAAACCATGAAGAAAAAAAAAGCCATTGATTGATAAAAGCAAAGCAGAACCATAGATAGAATGTACACGTTCAGACCAGAATCTGTACTGTACATCTATGTACTGCTATTTATGGTGAAAGATGTGGTTTTCATCATTTTTATTGCTATAAAATCCCATATCATAAAGTAACATATCATCAACTTCTCAAATTTATTAAGATGCAAAACATCCTTCATGTAGCAGAGGCACAGGGAGCCCTTCCAGGGCTCTGTACTGACAGTACTTCAGCTGCTTTCGTAAATATTTTGACAATGGAGTCATGGAGAAATTTCTTGTTTACCGGGAATTTTAGGGACTCAAGCTGAAGGTCTTCACCAACTATTTGAACACACCTTGGGGCCCGTTAATGATCATGTAGTGGAACTCGAGAGCACGTTTCAGTCTCGCTGTTAATCGCTGTACTTTGCTTGCTGATGGAAGCAAAGCTTTTTTTTTCTATTATTTGCAAAAATTTAAACCAAAAACTGAAAAAAAACGTTAACTCAGTACAATCAGTGGCAACCATGTGTGATGCCAGGTGATATATTCCATTTCACTCAAGCAATTTAGTAATCACTTGGTTAATTAAAGGATGATTTCTCTGGGGAAGCTGTAGGATCACTTGATTGTTCCTATGTGCAGATTATATGCATTATTAAGGTTTTATCTGTTCCTCCCAGTGTTAATGTGCCAAGAAGCTCCCCAAAGCTACCCTTTGAAGAAATCCCACTTTTCTTCTCCTTAAATATGTTCCCTCCTGGTCATGCAATAACCATAATAAGAATTGGCTTATTTCACTAATGGATTGTGTTGCAATTAGCTTGAAATCTTCCCTTGTAATTGTTACCCTCATGAATAATTATTTCAAAGGTATAATTTTTATACATTGTAAAATAAGAGGTTGTTTGAAACTCACAGATTTCCAGGTACTTTTGGGAAGGGAAATAAATAATTTAATTTAAAAGTCATTTTTCTTCCCTCTCTATGAAGTCAAATGAAGTACTGTCAGAACAAACCCTTGGCAGTAGGATACCAAATTTAAAAGCTCGTGTTTTCTGTTTTCATTTAGTCAGATGTTTAAAAAGAAAGAAAAAAAAAGGGGGGAAAAAGAAGCAAAAAAGCCCAATGCCCGAAATACTTTCACATGGCAAATTGACGTGTGGCTGGAGCAACAATTCATAATCCCAGAGCATGCAGAGAAGGAAATTAAATACTCACTGTAGTTCCAGGGAGCTTCTCTCTTCCAGAGAGTCCGTTGAGCTGCAGCGCCGATCCCAGCTCTGATCCCAGCCCTGATCCCAGCTCTGATCCAGCTGGAGCAATCCAGACCTTTCCCTATTTATCAGTTTGTGTGCACACACCAGGCTCCAGACACTCCGCAGAGCAATCCTATGGCTCCGAGACACGAACTTCCCACACAGCCTTCGCTGGGGTCGGAGCGAGGGCAGCTGCGAGCCCACATAAATCAAATAAGAACTGGGTCATCAGGGACAGAGGCCATGGGGACCCTCACGTCACTGCTTCCCAGAGCGCTCCCTGCCCCACCACCAAAGATTCTGCTTTCTTGCTAGAATTTAAAATTCTCCCTGTTCTGGTGGCTTCTCATCGACACGTCGGAGCGTGGATGGAAAACGTTCACTTCCCAGGCAGAGAAAGCACTGCAATGGTTTTATTTGGAGATTTCTGCAAGACATGATGATTTCATTTGGAAACTCTGGATTAGGGCAGGATTGCCAAACACCAAACTTGTCCTCCCTGTTCTGATCCTGACATCCCTGGCACACACAAGGCTCACCTGTACATTAACAATTTCAGTGATTTTAGGTTCATGTTGCTGCTAATTTCGCAAATTTCCATTCTTAAATGCCCAAGTATTTCCATTATTAATAATTTCTAATAACTTAATATTACTGTTTGATGTTTTCACCATTTCCTAGGTAGAAGATGTGACATTTTGGACAGGGAATCTCCTGCTGTTCCATGTGCTCCCTAACATGTTGCCCAGCAGGTTGCAAACCTCCTCACTCCCTTCCTTCTGTGTAAGAGCAATTCTCCATTTATCTCAGGAAAAACTGGTTCTGTCCTATACTTCATGGAATTAGGTGGCAAAAGGATAAAATAATTTCCTGTTGGGTATCTTACAGCAAAGTCACTTTAGTGACTTTAGTCACTTTAGTTTTCAAATGTCCTGCATCGATCAGGTGTGGTGATGGAGGGCTGGAATGCATAGATGATGCAGTAGACACAAAGATAATGATCTTGTAAGCTTAATTATGATTATCATTTGTCCTTTTGGCAAAAGCAGCCTCAGACACCAGCTTACTAAATTGTCAAAAAACCCTCACTGGTAAAACGAAGAATTTACAATTGATAGAACTAAGATTTTTTTTTCCATAGCAGTATTTCTTTCACATATCCCTTTGGCTTTTTCATCCAGCCTTTCTCATGGAAGCTGGAAAAACAAGCAGAGGTTTGTGAAATATTGCCTTTAGCTTGTAAATACTACTGACTTGTATTTTTAGCACTTTTTCTCATAGAAGCCACCAACTGATAAGCTGGTCAAGTGTAGCTGTGGGACGTGGGTATTTAGAGCCTGTTGACTCTGGGGAACGTGAAGCCCAGTTTTTTAAAAGGTATCAAATCCCCATTCTGTTCAGTTTATAAAGCCTAGTGGATTCAGAGTAAATTAAATCTCTAAAATAAATATGTAAGAACCTAAAACTTACTTGTAGTAGGAATAAACAGCAGGGGCACATTAAGTATTAGCCCGTGGTTGTTTACTCCAACCCCCATGCTGTTTTCATAGCTGCAGTAATAAAACTATTGTGCATAGTCATGCAGTGATTCAGACCAGGTTAAATACATGTACTTATGTTAAATACAGATATTTACATTATTTTAACAACTCACTGTCCTGCTCAAAGCTTAGCAAAAGCTTTGACAAAAATGGGAGACCTGAGGGCACACGTGAGTCACCTAAAGGATTGCTTCAAAGAAGAGGAAAATAAACTGTTTTCCATGCTTGTAAAGAATCAAGAAACAAAAAGGTTATTTAGGAGCAAGGAAGGTTTAAATTAGATACTAGGGAAAGCAATTACTGTGGTAAAAATAACACTGGAGTAAGTTGCTTGTACAATCTTCTTCACTGGATGTTTGGAAGATCAGTTTAGGCAGAACTTGAGAATTGTTTTTTTGGTCTGTAAAGGAGGAAAAATGATTTTTAAGCTCCTTTCCAGCTCTGTTTGCTTTTATTTTCCTATACATACATCAATTTTACAAAACACTGCTCACTGATGAAGTCTCTGATCAGTCACATACCCAGAGCCATTTCAGTGGGCAAAGTAAATAATCACAGACTCCAAGCATGATTTACTAGAGGTGAGTAAACAAAGTGTTACTGATGGACACGGCCCGAAAATATCAGCTGAACAAGTTCATGCCATGAGCCCACATCTAGAAGTGGCACTGAAGTGGAGAGTAAGGGATGTTTTCCACTGAAATAAGGCATGTTTTCCATGGAAAATAAGCAGATGTGGTGACACCAGCCTGACCTGGACACTGTGTTACAGCACTTGTGCAGCCTCACTGCCACCAGTGGAAACTGGGAGCTGCTGTGCAGTGTCTGCCTTTGGGCAGTTGGGTCTGAGGATTTGGTGAGTGGGGAAGCTGGAGATGAAGGAAGAGTTGCCCTGGATCAATACCTGCTTCCAAGCTCAGCAGAATTCCCTGTTCATATGAACTGGAGATTTTAGATCTCTGTGACTTGCTTGGTATCCGAATAGTTAAAGGAAATCATATCTGCTCCAGCTGGATCTTCTCTACATAACTGACCCGTTTGGCTTGATCTGGAATTGGATTGTTTACGTAACTTCAGTAATTAACCACTATCAGCCTCATTAATGAAACATAAACCACCTCTTCTGCTCATTTATAAAGCATTTGTCAAACAAAGCTCAAACAAAGGGCAGAATCTCAGCAGAGGAGCAGTCCTCCAAAAGCTACTGAGCCCTCACTGCAAGTCACGACGGTCACTTTGTTGTTGTTTTTCAGTAGAACTGAAACAGAAGTGATGGCATTGTCTATTGCTCTTGGCTAACTTCTCCCCCAACCATCTGAGATCTGTCACATGAGGGCAAGGATGCCTCGACAACTATTTTGGCCATTTCAGTACAAAATACTGATGTTCCAGCTCATTACTGTAAATCATTAAATGATGAAAGCAAGAGTCAAATACTAAACGATTGGGAGCTCTTGGAAAACTAATTGCTCGTTACAGTAATCGTTGTTCTATGTGAGTTAAAGGTTATATTGAAATATAGATTATTTCATTACAGAATTAAATCTCTCCTGCTAGTAAACTGTTCTAAGCAATAATAAAGAATGCTGAGTATTAACAATACAGCTCAGGCACTAAAGTGAATAAAGCTTAAGCTTTACCTATTTTTGGTTTGGAGAGATGAAATGGTTTAGAGGCATAAAATACACTGGCAGACAAATCCTTGCCAAAAATTTGATGTTCTGAGAGCTTGCATTTACTATTTGTTAAGGAACTCATGAAAAACCTGCAAGTTTTCTGCTCCTCCTCTCTCCTGGATTATTTATTGATCTTCCAAAGGTGTAGTAGTGCTGGCACTGTTGGGATTTTCTGCATGGGCAAGGATGGACCTCAGTCCTGGGTGAGAAACAGCACAAAGCCTCAGGAGTAACAATTTTGGATGTTGGTGTGACTTTGCACAGTGAACAGCTCCCATATAGTGTTGTAGAGCACGAGTTCATTCAGGTGATTTAGTGTGAAATAATATAGATACTCTTCTCTTTTGCATCAAATGCATCAGACAAATCATCAGGGTCAGATTGGAAGAGAAATAACTCTGGAGAAGATGGAAGTTCTCTTTAAGTTCTTAAGTGCTTTCATGGGAGGAAATACTGAAACCTCAGACCAGAGAGGAAAACCAGTTTTGATCTTTTTTAAGACTGAATTTTCCTTAATCATGAAGTTGTTAGATAGTTTCACCGTGCATTTTCTAACAGGCTTGTAAGGCAAATCTTGAAGAGCTAAATGGTTAAAATACATTGAATTTTAATGCAAGAGCCAAACTGCTTTAAACTTACCTGAAAATCTCAAGACAACCTACAAAATATTCCTGTTCCTGAAGGCAGAGGAGGTACAAGAAGCCCATCCATTCTACACTCACAATGTGCATGGGTACCCTGACGTCTCCTCCTTTAAGTGTCTTGTGCCAAATCTGTTTCTCCTTGGCTGGAAGACCAAGATTTGTCAATAAAATGCTCCAGTACATTGATATTCATCCAGGCATTATGTGGAAGAAGATAAAGATCTTAATTAAGCTTGATCACAATCTCCTGCAGGGATCTCAGAGTTGGTAATTCATAAGGGAGTACTTGTAACTTTAAGCACTGGAGTGACTGTACTTTGTAGGTACAGCAAAGGGAAGCCAAGTCCTGGACCTGATTTCCATAAAGCAGCAGATCTTGACACTCTGTATTAAGCATTACAAAATAATTATGGTGGAATCCCTTAATCAGCATTTTATCAGCAGTGGAGTCTTGCTGCTGAGGGACAGAACTAACTGGATACATCCATTTATCAATGATAATGCTTTTCCTTTTCTCCAGCCTGGATTCCATCTTGAGGACATTTGTTTTAATAGGAAAAATAATATTGGGCTCATAAATGTGAGTGCTGTGGTGCAATGGGTGACTCCTCAAGATTTATCAAAGCAGGATAATTAGGATGAACAATAAGAGTGGAAATAACTTTTGTCACAGGACAACTCTGGTTTATGCCACGTTAATCCACCTTGAAGTATGGGAAGTGCAAGGGGAGGATTCACTTCAGGCCCCCTGGTCTGAGTCTGTGCTACAGTTTTGTTGAGGGCGATGCCAGTGAAACTGTGAGAGTAGCTGATGGTTGTGTTAACACCATCAGTTAATTGTAAAAGCAAGCAGTCACAAAGTGTTGGGGGTGTGGTGTGGTTTGCTTTTCAAACAGCTGTAGCTGCTGGAATAGTTGGTTGTTTATGGACACCAAGTTTCTGAAGGAAGGACTTGTAGTGGAAATGAGAAATGTCACATTATGCTTTGGAAAAGGTGGTGTCTATGGGAGACTTGTGCACTTGTGCTTTCACAGACTTAGCCACAATTTTTCTAACTTATGATTAAAACCCCAAGAATTATCCTAGAAATTTGCCCTTTATTCTTTTCCCTACTTCCATTTACGTTCTTTTCCCTACTTCCTACTTTACATTTAGATGTCACTCAATCTGTCACAGATGTTGCCATTTACTACAGGTCAGTTCCTCTGTGCATTATTCACAGAATCCCAGAATAGTTTGGGTTGGAAGGGACCTTAAAGCTCACCCAGTTCCACCCCCTGCTGTGGGCAGGGACACCTTCCACTGTCCCAGGTTG